AATTAAAAATGAGCCCGGCCGGTGTAGCTCACTGGTTGAGCGTCAACCCATGCACCGAGAGGTCACCAGTTTGATTCCCGGTCAGGGCACATGCTAAGGTTGTGGGCCTAGTCCCCAGTGGGGGGCATGCAGGAGCCAGTCAATCAGTGTTCTTTCTCATCGAGGTTCTCTCTCCCTCTCCCTTTCTCTCTCTCTAAAATCAACAAAGAACAAATATTTTTTTAAAAAAATGGAACTGCCTTATGACCCAGTGATTCCACTCCTGGGAATCTATCAAAAGAAACCTGAAATAATAATTCAAAAGAATATATGCACCTGTATGTTCCCTGCAGCGTTATTTACAATAGCCAATATTTAGAAGTAGCCCAAGTGTCCATCAGTACATGAGTAGATAATAAAGTTATGATACATTTACACAATGAAATATTACTTGGTCATAAAAAAAACAACAACAACAGAAATCTTACTCTTTGCGACAGCATGGATGGACCTGGAGAGCATTATGCTAAGTGAAATAAGCCAGTCAAAGAAAGACAAGTACCACATGATTTCACTCATATGTGGAATCTAACGAACAAAATATACTACCATACAGCCCTGGCTGGTTTGGCTCAGCAGTTAGAGCGTCAGCCTGAGGACCAAAGTGTCCCAGGTTCAGTTCCCACTAAGGGCACGTACCTCAGTTGTAGTTTGTCCCCAGCCCCGGTTGGGGTTGTGTGGGTAGCAACCAGTCAATGTGTCTATCTCACATTGATGTGTTTCTCTCACGTCGAGATGTTTCTCTCTCTCTTCCTCCCTCTCTCCTTCCTGCTCTGTCTGAAGATGAATGCAAAAATGTCCTTGGGTGAGGATAAAAAATATACATATACTAACATACAAAACAGAAACAGACTCATAGATAGAGAACAGACTGACAGCTGTCATGGGCTGTGTGTGTGGGGGGGTTGCGGGCTAGATGAAAAAGGTAAAGGCATTAAGCAAACAAAAACAAAAACCTTATAGATACAGACAATACTATGGTGGTTACCAGTGGGAAAGGAGGGCTGGGAGAGGTAGAAGAGGGTATGGGGGAAATAAATGATGATGAAAGCAGATTTGACTTGGGGTGGTGAACACATAATACAGTGTACAGATGATGTACTGCAGAATTGTGCACCTGAAACTTATACTTTTATTAACCAATAAATTCAATATATAATAAAAACTTAAGTCCCTACATCTCCGGGGGGGGGGGGGGAATCATTCTAATGAAGTATCATAAATTATTAATAACTTTCATTCAAGATTAAGTAAAAGCTTAATACAGTCGTCCCTTGCCATTTCACACTTGACTTTCGCGGCTTCACTCTATCGCGGTTTTTTTCAAACATATTCATTAAAAAGTTGATCGAGACAGTGAAAATGATACAGTGTGCACTCGGTTGTCTGAGTCAATTATATACCCCGTATTACAATTAAAATTAAAATTACTGACTGTATGGACTGTAGGCCTATGTATTCGAGCACCCCAGGAATCCTTCAACACCAGGTGCAGCTCCTCAACCACTCCTTGTGTGTGGGCAATAACTTTTTTCCAAAAAATCGGGTGTGGTGAACCAAGCCAATCAGAGCGTGCTGTTCACTGATTGGCTATCCTGGCCTCTTCCTATCCTGGCCACTGATTGGCTCAGCCTCATGCAAGTTCATTTCTCGCATACACACTTCTACATTGTTACACATCGAAAGCATCTTTGCTCTTGTAAGTGTTTGCGATTTCTGAGAACTTTTATCTAAGATCCACGATGGCTCCTAAACGTGCTGCTTCTTCTAAGCCTTCTGACGATGAAACTAAGTGCTGGAGGAAGGTGCTTACCATCCAGGAGAAGGTGAAACTATTGGATATGATCACAGATGGCAAGAAAATCGCGGAGGTTGCCCACCATTACGACTTGAACGAGTCTACCATTTGCTCCATCCGTAAAGATGAAAAAAATATCCATGCAATGGCTACTATCTCTTTCAACAAGGAAGTAAAGCGCATCGTGACAAGTCGTAATAAGTTTATAGTGAAAACAGAGTCTGCCCTAGCCATTTGGATCAGCGGCAGCCACAAGACAAACATTTTGTTGGATCTGTGGGTCATCCAGGAGAAGGCGAGGTAGCGTTATCAGCGCTTTATGGCAGACGAACCTCAAGCAGGACCCTCTTCTGCAACATTCATGGATTTCATGGCAAGCAAGGGTTGGTTTGAGAAGTTCCAGAAGAGGTATCACGTGGAGTGTCGTTCTCCACGGAGAAGCTGCCTCTGCTGACCAGCTGCAGCAGAGGACTCCGTGAACAACACCCCAGAGGATATAAGCAACTCGGCAGTGGATACGGCAGGCTAGCCCGGATGCTGGGAGGAGAAGGTTTCACGGATATGACCGCGATGATGTGGATGAGCTGCTGGCGACACATTCAGATCCCTTAACTGACGAGGATCTGGTGGAGATGATTAAGTCTGCGAGTGAGGAGGAGGAAGAGCAGCCAGAGGTTCCTGGGTGTCAGGAGGAGGAAGTTGGCCTTACACTTTAGCATCTCTCGCAAGTCGTGAGAACTATTAAGGTAGTATAGGACACGATTGGTGAATGGGACCCACAAATGATGTGTGCATTGCGGTTATGGAATGCACTTGATGGAGCAACAGAACCCTACAAAAGCCTCCTCATTATATGAAAAGACAGTGCCAGCAACTGCCTATCACGATGTTCTTCAGCCGTGCACCCAGACACCCACTGCCTACTCCTAGTGCTCCTTCAGTGGAAGAAGACGATGATGCACCTGCTGAAGATACTGCACCACCTGAAGACTCTCCTACTGAGGTCGTGCCTTCAGAGGAGCAGTAACCTTGCTCTTCTTTGCTATGCAGCACATCTCTTCATCTTCATCGCTTCGTCATCGAACAAGTTGCACTGTTTTCATAGATTAGTGGTTGTGTGTAAGGACTGTGTGTTTGTAATTAAATGTACAATAATAATAATATGATATTTGTAACATCTAATATGTCTTATTTTTCTCTTATTTTGTCTAATATATTGGGTAATATGAGTGTAATGGTGACTAAAGGGTGTTATTTCCTGTCTAGAGGGCTCTAATAATGTTAAAAACCGTATTTAGGTCACAAACAGGTTTTCTATTCTCTAGCTGCAAAAATATTTGATTTAGAAATAAAGAATCCTACTTCACAGGATTTAATTTACTACAGTAGAGTCTAGAACTGATTAACTGCAATAAACGAGGGCCAACTGTAAATTTTTTTTTCAATCCTCACCCGAGATAATTTTTCCATTATCTTCAGACAGACTGGGAGGAAGGGGGATGAGGTGGAGGGAGGGGGGGTGGAGAGAGGGAGAAAGAGAGAGAGAGAGAGATTGGTTGCCTCCTACATCACTCTGACTAGGGCCTGCAACCAAACAGCAACGGAGGTATGAGCCCTTGACTGGATTGAACCCGCGACTATTTGGCCTGTGGGTCAATGCTCTAACTGCTGAGCCAAACCAGGCAGGGCCTTAATAAAATTTTTAAAAATCATTACTGGATTACCTTTATTTAGATTTCAATATAGTCTATTGAATTTTGGGGGTTCAGAGCCAAAGTGGATCTAAGAAGCTAATTTTAAGGTTACTAAACAACTCCCTTTAGCAAGGTCATGTATTTGGACGGAAAGTCCTCAGGTCTTTTTACTTAACTACTGATGTTTAAATTCTGGTAAGAAAGTTTCTTTTACAGATACATCCACAGTCTCATCTACAGGACCCTTAATCCTTTAAGACATATTTCTTAATCCTTTAAGACATATTTCCTTAGCTATATCTTTTTTTTTTTTAATCCTCACCTGAGGACATTTTTCCTTTTTGTTCAGGTAGAGGAGGGAGAGAAAGGAACAGAGAGAGAGAAACATCAACGTGAAAGGGACACATCGAGTGGCTGCCACCCGCACGACCAACCAGGGCCGGGGACAAACTGCAACCGAGGTACGTGCCCTTAGTGGGAACCGAACCCGGGTCTCTTGGGACCGCAGGCTGATGCTCTAACCGCTGAGCCAAACCGGCCAGGGCTCCTTAGCTATATCTAACAGTGGGATTTAAGTCTTTTCTCCTGGCCAGAGAGATGTTCCGTTGGCATGCAACCTTGTACTACACTCTCTGGAGAACCCGATCTGGCTCCTCTGATCCCCCATGCACTTGTGTTGTAGGCAGACAACAGAAGGGCGCGTTCTCTCCCTTGCTGTTGATGAGAACTCACACCAGAATGGTCTAACCTTTGCTATTGTCTCACTAGACCCTGGTTGTGATGCTGCCTACCAGGTAGCCCCTTCCACATTCAGTTTCCCACACGACTCTTTGCACCTTTTCCATTGTCATTTCTAAGCGGTAAGAAAGCACTTTAACAGCCACAGCAACATGCACCCATTTGGTTGTTTAGAATGAAAACAAAACCACTGTTCTTCTTTCTTCTCCCCGGGGAAAACTAGGATCCTGAATGTTGATATTCTCACACCAAATGATCTGACAACATTTAAAAATACATTTGCAGTATAGGGTTAACATAAGAAGAAAAAGAAAGGGATCTAGGCTTTCAAACAGTCTCTGATTTCATTTATAAAATCAACCAAAAAAAAAAAAAATAGGGCTCTTGGAATTTTTTCTAAGCAAACGGGTAAAGCTCATTTTCTTTTCATATGCCTTTTTAAATCTGCCTTTGTGCTCTTGACCCAAGAAACCATATCTGATTACACATCAAAGAGAATAATAAACCTAAATTGATGACTGACATTTTAACAGACTGAACAGTAATATTTCTCCACTGAAATCTTGGACAGTTTTCTAAGGGCTCTCTTTATAAGTGGGCAACACAAATAGCCAGCACATTGAGGGTTTAATTATGAAATCAGAAGGCTTGATTCACGACCCTCTTTTCAAATCCCAACACCTCTTCATTCTCAGACGCGATGTCTCGGAGATGCAATCATAAGCACTTACCTTGTTTGTTTCCGAGTCTTCCCCCAACTTTTCCACTGCAGCTGCGTCCTGAGTGGACTCCTGCACATCAGAAGTGACCTGCTTCTCTCTGCCTGGCAGAGGAACCTTTTTCTTTTCTGTGGAGCATTTTGATTTGAGAATGCTGTTGAGATCATTTTCCATCTCCTGCTTAGCAGATTCAAGCCTGTTTTCCAAATCTTTTTGTTTACACTTAAGTGATTTTATATCCTCTTTAATAATCTTCTGTCCCACTGAAGATGTATTTTGCTTGATGGATTTCGCTAACCCTAAAATCTTCTCTAATGTGCCATCTTGTAAACGGAGTCTATTCTCTAGTTCCTATGAGTGGAGAAAAGATTGTCACAAGAAGTATCTCTGTTCGATTGTCACAAGAGTTAATTGACTTGTAAATAACAGCATAATCTGCTTCACTAGTGGGAAGTATAAAAACATGTATCAATTTATATCACTAAAAAGAAACTTTGGGTAAAATTTAAACCAAGGTAGCAACCCAGATCAAATTCTCAAACAGATTTTATATGTAACTAAAAATTTATAAGACATAACACATTTTCACAACACAGTTCCTGGAATATTGGAAGTAGTCAATACATACTTGTTGAGTATATATTTAATTCAAGATACAGCCTTTTGACATAATCAAAACACTAAATAATGAGTGCCTACTATTTGCAAAACATTGAAAAAATCATTTAAAATGTGCCCACATGAATCTAGTGTTAATATTTAAAATTTAGAGCAAAGCTTAAAGCAATCTTTCTAGCGCAACATCTCAGCCGTAGAAGGAGCTCAATCAACATTTACTAAATGTATGCATGCATGAGGGAGCTAATATGAGAACTCTAGACTCAAAAGTAATTTGAGGTTCTATAGCAGGTGCTGATGTTACAATCGAAATAGAGTAAGCCTAAAGTTACTAGGTGAACAACATAGGATTTATTAGTCACTATCTTAACAGAACACACAGAAACCATTCATTCATTCAACTAACAGCAAGTACTTGATAGGTTCTGAAGTTACACAGACGAGTAAAAATCCAGTCCCTTCAAGTTCCTATAGTCCAGTGAGAGAGACACAGACCTAAACACGACACTTGTAACTGAATGTGAAAAGATCTATGCTAACGAATATGCACAGGCCACTGAAATATTTTAAACCGAAAGGAGAGAGTTCTAGATTTGCATTTTAGAGAGGTCCGGGAAGGTGCACTGGAGGGAGCGACCTGCAGGCAGGGAGCCCATCTGAACCTACTGCAGATGGGTGAGATGAGGGCCTGTTCTAAATTAGCAGTAACAAGGGCAACAGGGGAGGGACGAATTATAGAGCTATTCCAGAGATGAAAGAGATAACACTTGATGTCTGACTAGATTGGAAAGCCCGAGAAAAGATATCAGGTTTCTGACCTGAAAGCCTTGAGAAATGGTGGAGATGTGGATGGAGTCAAAGCATAGAGTAGACGGAGAGCCCCCACAGGTGGAGAAAGGAAAAGAGAAGATGAATTACTTTTTGGATGTGCTGGACTACAAATAATTGTTCAGACAATCATGTAGAGATGTTTAGAGGAGAGTCAGAAAAAGTAGTCACCAGACTAGGGTCAGAGACTCGAGGTGTAGCCCCTACTCTGTCATTTAACCTGGTTGACCTTGTAAGTCCCTCACCTTGCCACAACTCAGCTTATTAAGTATAAATTGAGGGATCGGACCGCGATGGCCTCTGTGGTTCCATCTATGTATAGCAAAAGTCTTTAATTTTTCAACTGGAGCGTGAGCTCCTCAGGGTGAAGCTTATATCTTTTACTTTTCTCAGTATCTATGGCACTCAAACAGTACCTAGGACATGATGAGGCCTCAAAGTGTCAAATTATCACTGCTAAAAGGGGAGGTCGGCTTGTCTTAATGGCAGGCCATTCTTGAGAACTCTGGCTTGATTCCCAAGTCCCTAAAAGGAAAAGATGAGACATTCCCAAGCTCATGCCAACAGTGCTGCCCTGAGACTCACCCCATGAGCTATCCAGTCAGGAATTAGGAAAGGAGGAACTTTGTTTTCTTCTAGAAGACACCACTTGGGCCTGTTTATGTTGTCTGTGCAAACAGTGAGAATCCAAAGACTGTGCTTTGAGAATGTGGGTAAAGGCTAGGTGTTGTTGGACTTAGCGTGAGACTTTTGGAAGCCCTACATCTGGGAGAAAGCTTTAATGCAGCCCATGAGTCTAAAAATTAATAAAAATTACACAGCTGCTATCCACCCATAATGAAGAATGCAAAATTGAAACATTTCCCCCTGCGTCTTAAATTAGATTCATCCTTGGCCTTGCCAATCTCTCCTAGAATCACAGTGTTATCTCTGAAACAAGGATCTCCAGAAGCTACAGAATGTCACGTGAAATCATCCCTGAGGGTCCCTAGTGCAGGAACCACTATAACACAAGTTATAAATGGATTTGGTCACTAAAGAAGAACATTCTCATTTTTTTAATGACTAGTCAGAACTTTACCTAATAATAATCTGAATAACACTTGAATTTCAAACTAAAGACATTGATTAGTACAGTTATAATTAAAATTGAGTTTTTTAAATGTCTATCGTTTCTGGACATTGTTTAATACCTGCAGTTCCTTCAGTTTTTCTTCAACTTCTACTTGATCCACAGGCCTGTCAGTAAAAGTAACAAATTCCTTGGAGATATTGTCCAATTCAGTATTCAGGTCTGTGATGCAAACCTGGTATGAGTGGTGTTCTTGAACATGACCTTCCAATTTTTGCACAGAATCCTAAAAATAAAACCATTGACAATATATGAATTATTTCTCTCTGAATTTTCTCACTCAGGTAACAATTAAATTGTTCATAAATACTTGTTTTATGAGGTTTCATCTTGAAACAGGAATATGGCCATAATCATCCAGAATTCTTTTTGAATTTAGTGTTTGAGATATTTCACTGTAAAACCTCCCTTCTCTCCCCATAGCGACTCTTGTTGAAACCACTTCCTTTCCCCCATGCTTCTTTGCCTTCCTTTTATTCCTGAAGACAATTTATTTGTCAAGAGGCTTACAAAATAAAATGCTTACAAATTATATCATCAAATCACAAACATCCATAATAAAGCACGTCCCTTAATTATCCTTCTTACTAAAACCAAGTACCCACACTTACAAATGAGACTATATGAAATCAACCTAACCCCCAATTCCATTCATAAGATTCAAACTCCAAAATTGTGTGCTGGGAAAAAGTAATCCTAACTCAAGAGCAAAACCATCTTCAGGTTCTCCTCCTGGAATAAGAAAGTAGGTGCACACTTAATCAGAAAAGTAGCAACTATTAAACTAAACAATTTACCGCCAAGTGGGTATATATCTTCACCCCTGCACAACTCTTCTGTGTAAGTGGGATTTCTTACCCAGATAATTCCTACCTTGAAGCTGTCTCTCAATGTGCAAAGAATTATAAACAATTCTCTTAAGAGAATACATTCCCTCGTGACAAGTTGACATTTCACCTCTTACCTCTTTTACTGCAGATCATGTAGAAAGACATGAAGGAGAGACACTGATAAGAAGTTTTATACAGAATAAGGAATACGAACTATCATGATAGATGATGGATGGATTGATGGATAGATGAATACAGAGATGTATCAATATACAGATAGATGGATATAAGAATGATGTATGAATTTACTGAAACAATCACCTTTGTAGAGATGTCTAAAAGAAATCTTAACTCTTCCTATTCCTGAAGAGGGGAACTCCAATGAGAGAAATAACACCATCATCTAATAATATATGATGGATTCTTCTAGCAAAACTGACTGGTTTGATTCCTTCATCCTTGAGGAGTTAATAATTTTATCTAAAAGTGATCAATTAGATTTAAAAAGCTTTTGGAGCTTTTTGGCCCAGTATCTCAGTTGGTTAGAGCATCATCCTGATATGCCAAGGTTGTGGGTTTGATCTCTGATCAGTGCACACACTAGAATCATCCAATGAATGCATAAATAAGTGAAACAACAAATCCATGTTTCTTTCTCCACCCCCCCTTTTCCTCCCTCCCTAAAATCAATTTAAAAATAAAAACTTTTGGTTTACCAAAAGAACAAAAAAAATGTTCTGTATACAAATCTTTCATGATTACGACTATCATTTATATTTTTATTTTCACCACTTCACCTGTAGTTGTTGAAGAAGACTTTCATGTAGATGTTTTATTTCTAGCCAAGGTTCTTCACTGAAGTTGAGATTTTTAGTGCATTCTAAGAGGTAATTTCCTTGAGATTTTAGCTCCTTTAGCAAGGATGTCAAATCTTGTGCTTTCTGGAGGAATTTCTTATAAATTTTTAACTGTGCTTTCTTCTCCTGCAAACCAGGTTGCAGAGCAAAGCCCGCTTCTTGTTTCTTTTTTAGATCTGTGAGCATTAACCTCAGATCTTCTTTGCTTTGCAAATACTTCTCTCCTTCTAGTAGAAGTTTTTCTTGATGGCTAAATTGAAAAATATATTTTACAAAGGAAATGACAGTTAGCAAACAGAATAGCATTTTGCATATTATAATACAGCATACACTATAATAAGAAAGCATTAAAATAACACTAACACACATTATTCCTACAGAGGCTTTTTGGCATTATAACATTTTAAACAGTACTAAGTTTAGTCCAGAAAATAAGACAAAAATTATTTGTATTACTAAAAAATTATTGCTTTTGTTATATAATTTGACTGGAGAATACATACTAAATAATTTAGATTTCAAACTATTTGTTTTTATTATAATTAAATGTAATTATATTACTCTATGATTTTCTTTTTCATATAAGTAAAAAGTATACTGGCCAACTGACTAGTTTATTCTTTTTATATCTTGAATTTAGCTTTAATCTGATGATCTCTTTGAAAAATATAAAATTCACATTTCCATCAAACTTATCATTTAAGATGTGGTCTGAATTAAGAGTTTTCACCAGAATTATGTCCATTGACTTTAGACATTTACCAGTGTTTGCACATGTAAGAGTCTCTGAGAATACATATTTAAAAGCATTAATTATTCTACACTAATACCATGCAGATACTGAGGCTGTCTGCTGGAAGGGAGTTTCAGTGTAGAAGTGGATTGTTAAAAGCGTAATGACAGATGATGTTAATTTGTTGCCGAGAACCCCATGGGTTGATGTACCAAACAAAGTAAACACTGCCACAGAGGTATGACAGTGTGTTCTATATCTGATCCAGAGAACTATTCCTCTTCGTTTCAGCCTCTGACATTTTGGATGTCCCTGACCTACTGACTTCTTTCCAACAGATACTCTATCTGAATCCAGGAAGCAGACAAATCATACTTGTAATGGCTTCATTGTGCCATGAAATCCATGGAGTGGTGAAGACATGTCCTTTACCTTAGATACGTGTTGGCTAAATGGAGGGTGTTGACCCACTGGTTCTCGATATCAGTAACGGTCTCTGAATCCAATGGAGCCTTACTGTTCGAAGCCTTACTCCTGATCCTCTGTATTTTAGCGTCCCCTTCAGGTTTTAATAAAATGATTTCCTGAATTAAATTTAAAAAAAATTTTAGAATCCCTTTCATATTTCTAAAGGATAGTACATACAATCTCTATTTATAAAAATTATATTGAGATTTTAACTGCAGATTAGATTTCAAAATTGCCCTTTCATTTTTTAAAATTTAAATTAATTTTTCCCATCACCTTTTATCCCCTCTGTGCCCTCTACCACTTCCACCCATTCCCCTCCACCTCTACAATCACCACCCTGTTGACCATGTCCATGAGTTCTCTCTCTTTTGTCTGTGTGTTTTTTTTCTCAATCGCTCCACTACTTAACCACCAAGAGCTGTCTGCCTGCTTTCTATCTATGTATAAGCCCAAAAGACAAAGATATCTCCAGCCACAGGACTGGTTCTCAATAAACATTTGTCAGGTTGATCTGACTGCATTCCTGATTTCCTTTTTTTTAATGTTTTTATTGATTTTTTAGAGAGAGAGAAACATCAATGCGAGAGAGAAACATCCATCGGCTGCCTCCTGCACACCCCCTACTGGGGATTGAGCCCAAAATTCAGGCATGTGCCCCGACCGGAATCGAACCAGGACCTCTCAGTCCATGGGATGAAACAGAATCCACTGAGCCACACCAGTTGGGCCCTGACTTCCTCTTGATTTTCAACTGCCTTGAAATAAATTATATGCCACAGAAACAAAACAAAAAAACTGGCATCCCTGGCCAGTTTGGCTCAGCGGTTAGAGCGTCAGCCTGTGGACGGCAGAGTCCGGGATTCGGTTCCTGCTAAGGGCACATACCTCGGTTGCAGTTTGTCTCCGGCCCTGGCTGGGGTCGTGTGGGTGGCACCCACTCCATGTGTCTCGCTTACCTCGATGTTTCTCTCTCTCTCTCCCTCCTTCTCCCCCTTCCACTCTATCTGAATATAAATGCAAAAAAAAAAAAATGTTCTCGGGTGAGGATTAAAAAAAAAAAACAAAAAACCCTGGCAAATTCACCTTCCTATCTACTCTGTTATTTCTAGATGGAAAGTTAGGTAACAACCTGAACAAGACATTTTTATACAACAAGATGAGACTATGGCTTCCCACAGGAATATGCAGTGTCCCTACTGTCAACTTTTGTCTCTCCACCATGGCACAATTAATTCCCATTCCCTGTTCTCTTTCTCTCCTTTTCTCGGAAGTATCATGTTCTGCTCTTCTTGGAAACTACTCCAGATTCACGTTCTCTAGAAACCTTTCATATACAATCCCAAAAGATTCTGATGACTTCATTAAGTCTTACCAACTCTTACAGCTCACTATTCTTAACCATTTCTTCCTCTAACAATGATGCTTCGCTTAACATGATTTCACTTCTCCCGACTTTCTTTTAAGTATCTTCTTTCCTACATTTTAAACTAGCAATATTTACTGAAGCTCCCTTAGATAAAAAGTGAGCAGAAGGGAGACTGAGATTTCCTTGCCCTCCACAACCCACTCAGTATCTGATAGCCTTTATGAACCCTACGGCTCCACTCTGAAGGAGTTCCTCTCCGGCCCTGCCCTGGACACTGCTGATGTCTCTGCTGTGCTGATACCTTTTTACACCCTAGCAAACTCCCACCTGCCACAGCTCCAACTTATTGTCTCTATTTCAATTCCTCTGCACTAGTGAAGATGGACAGTAACGGGGCATTGCCCTCATAAAGAGAGGAGTTACTTTCTCTCTTCCCTCTACATGAAAATAATTTTGGATCCATCACAGCCCTTCTCTTTTGGAAGGTCAATTATCTGACCATCGTCAACTGTTCTATAGTGATTCCATTTTCCATTAAGAAACAGATCTTGGCCATTTCCCTCTAAATCTTCTCAAAATTAGAGTTCACTCTGACCTCTGAAATTTAGTTTCCATGGTTATACCTTTATTTTTTGGATTGTTTCCTCAAGTGGCATTTGGCCTTCAGATGAATTCAAAACCATAAGGGACTCTTTAATCCCTGTTATCCAATGAATTACATCTTGTGCAAGATCATTAAAGCTCTGGTCTTCGTCAGAAGGCAACTTATCCTCTTCCTCAATTTCACATATTTGTCTCAACAGTGCCTGGTATCTATCAATCAAACGTGTTGATTCCAGTATTATTTCTTCTTCTTCAGTAAGCCCACATTTCTTTGAAGAGCTGTTCAACTGGGCCATGGATTCGAACTGTTCTCTGTAAATTCCAAACATGACTGACAGTTTACAGGAGCCACGACACCATGTCAGAAACCGTATTCACAGGAAATAAATTGTGTAACAGATCAGTTATACCTCTTTCTCACGAGAGCTTGGCAAAACAACTTAGTTTTCTCTCCTGATCCTTCCAGTTCTTTCCATTTCTCTTCTTGATCAGTCAACCACTTACTCAGGTTTCTGTGGTCATCCTGGAGTCTAAGAGAACATTATATATGTCAGAATATAAAATAAGCAACAAGTGTTTCTGAAGAGAAGGTTGACACAAATCTTGGGAACCAACCAGGTTTTTACTATATGTTTCTGTTATTCTTTGGAGAAAATTTAATTTATAACATTAAAATCTGAATAATAATGGCTTGTATTATAGTGCCATTCTGTAAACCAGTGAGCCACACAAAGGTATCCTAGAGAACCAGAAACAAACATTTCAGACCCCCCCCCTAAACTTTTCCCACATTCAATAATTTAAAGGGTTCTCCAAACTTCTGTCTTCCTAGAGCCAAACCCAGAGGGGAAGGTATGCACTTTATGTGTGAACTCTGTGTGTATTACGTGTACCCGTGCTAAGCTGTACGGAGGCAGGGTACCTATGCAGACATGGTTAGGAGATGTGTTTAGATGCCACTTTATTTCCTACCTCAGCAGCTGCTGCAGGCAGCCATCCAGCTCCGTTGCTCGCACCTGGCATGCAGACTCCATTTTTTCTAATTCAGTTTCTTGACTTACGATCCAACTGTTCAGCTCCTTAACATGTGCTTTGGGCAGATGCTTCTTTACACGATTCAGTACAGTTCCCACCTGCTGTATTTCACTGCCTCGTCCTTCAAGAGTCAAGAAATCCTTTAAAAAGACAAACATCAGTTATGCCCTACTGGCAAGTCTAAGTATGGTCTCTGCCACCCGACGGCACTTTCTAAGCCAGTACACAGACACACCATCTTTTTAACATCTTATATAAAAGAAAGCCTATGGAGATATAAATAACTTCAATGGCAAATGAGCCAAAGAAGATGTATTATTAGTTCTACAATGTGTGTACACATCTGAATTTCTGAAAATGGTATCAAGCAAAAGAATCAAGTGCCCCCATGAAGGTCAGTAGAAGTTAAGACCAGAGAAGCTGCATGTTTTCTGCCTGGCTATACTACAACTTCTTCTAAATACTTGTTCCTTTCTGTAATCAATATGTAAAACTAAACAGACTCGTCTCTATTTAAATGTGTCCAAATCTGAATTTTATTTCAATATTTGTGTTAAAAAGTTTGAGCATCAATTATCGAGCACCATGCAATGAGCAAAGTTAAATGCAAACAAAAAAAGTCACGTTCAGCCAGTGTGGCTCAGTGGTTGAGCGTTGACCCATGCATCAAGAGGTCACTGGTTCGATTCCTGGTCAGGGCATATGCCCAAGGTTGTGGGCCAAATCCCCAGTGTGGGGCATGTAGGAGGCGGCCAATTGATGTTCTCTCTCATTTATGTTTCTATTTCCCTCTCCCTCTCCCTTCCTCGCTCTCTAAAATCAATAAAGAAAAATATAAAAATAAATAAATAAAGTCAGAACTTTAAAAAATAGAAGGCAGTTCTATCAATGAAGAATGGTATCATCAAAGCAACAAATCAGAGAATATTAAATACCATCAATAGCTTGACAGCATGCCTTATAAAAACTACAGCACTAGGTAATCTACCCCAAAGTGATCACGAGTTAAGGGTGTGATGTGCACTGTAAATGTGCAGGCACTTGGCCATTTATTTCAGACCACCCTCCATTACACTCTGACCAGCAGTGTATTCAAGTTCAGCTGCAATTTTTAAAAGAAATATGCCTGAAAAGACATAAAAAATCAAGAGACCTCTTTCAAGAATGTAAAAGAATGTCGAAGTCCAAATTAGATAAATTTTTTACTTTTTATCAAATATGACTTTAACACAACTGAATTCACCAGCAAACAGTCAAATAAACAGTGTCTTAGAATAAGTGAGAAACAGAACTTGTTTAAATCATGTGCCCCATTACCCAGTAAACAGTTTCAAAATACTTGTGAGAAGCCAGATTAATTGGAAATATTTCTCTATGTAGGCAAATGAATAAGTCAAAGTAATTATTACCCTATCTACTTAAATACAGTTCTATGCCTCTAGTATTTTAGTTTTGATAAATTTTGATTGAAATTTATATGTCTTACAGAAAGTTTTTGTAGCTTTTCTTCCATGTGCTTTTTTGTTTCTGATGATTCAAAGCACTCTTCAAGGTTTATTTTAATGTTGCTGAACCAGTCACTGAAGTTCTTGCACTGATCTGCAGGGGGAGGGGAAAGCTGTATCATTCAAGAAAGGCTTTATAGATCTAGTTAAAGTGAGAGATTCTGAAACATGCTTCCCCTGCCCTGGATACAAATCATTGTGTAGAGTAGTAAGTTGAAACCCAGTTTTGAGGGCTAATAGAGTCTAGAAAGTAATCGCAGTGTATTCTCTATACCAACCCTCCTTTCCAAGCATACAGGACACCCAAACACACCAGCAGGGCAGCCTGCTCACAGGCACATCCCCAGACCCACTCACCACAGTGAACAAACACAAGGACAGTGATGACTTTCCTTAGTGAAATAAAGATTTGGCACGTGAAAGAAATAGATGTTATTTATGAGATGCATAGATTAGTAAGAGCATCCCCCCAAAAGATTTATCTGAATAAATCCTTAATCAATCAATCCTGTTCTTCAAATATAATCTGTGCAACCATCTCTAAGCAAAGCTTAGATAGCCTTTGTGTTCATAGCATTTATTCATACTTCAAAATTCTCAAAAACAATAGAAGAAACAATGTACTCACCATTCAACAACTTAGAAAAGTGATCTTGCAAAACACTTTTTTTGGTATTAAATAAATCACTGACACTTTCATACTGCTTTTTCAATTCAGAGAGTTCAGGAGTCAGACAACCTATTTGATTCTCAAGTAATATCATACTGTGCTTTTGCTGTAGAATCTGCTGTTGTATCTCCTAAATATATAAACAACCATTATTAAGTCTTCAAATGAGCTCAATTTATACAACACATATTAGATCTGCATTGTTTTTTTAAAAAATACAGATGATTTTCTATTGGGTGGATTTGCTTTCTCTCAGCCAGTAAATGTATAAATGCAAGGTAATTTAATAGCAAATAATTACTGTCCACAGAGCAAGTCACAGGTGCAACTGCTAAATGTACATAAATTGCTTTTCTGAGATTTTTACCCCCAAGCTTTCACTTTTACTATTTTTATTAACCTCAAGAGGTCAAAGCCATCAGAAATGAGTGTGAAAATAAATCTGAACCACAGAAGATAAGAAGCTGGGAAGTACCTCTAGTTTTGTAAAGATCTCGAAGCTGTCGGAAGGAGACAGGGCTTTTAAGAGGGACTCGGTCACCCCGATCTGGGTCTTGGCTTGGTCGAGGTCCTCCCTTAGCTCAGCTGTGTTTGCACTCAGTGCAGAGCAGCTGGGTTCTCCAGTTAAAAGCATTTTTACATGTTCTATCTTGTTCACAATAGAGGACTCCATGACCTGAAATCATGAAACATGTTAAGTGCGATTACAGATTTTATTGAACTAGATTTTGAGACAAACCACATTGCTAGAAAATGAGTTGAGACCGTTTCATTTCAATATGAAATAAATTCTGCTCTACTTATAATTCTTCATTGTTCTACATCACTGATACGACCATCTGAATGGTGCCTTTAAAGAAAAAGAGTAATATGAAAACTGAAATTGAACTTCTGACTTTTTATAAGAGACTAATTTGAATCCTTCCCCTAAAACCAGTTTTATCTAGCATACCAACTGAAGTGTTACTTCACAGCACTCTTTTGAAAACATATAGAAAAAATTACACAGCCAGCATTTGTTGAATGTTTATTATGTACACAGCATCATGTTAAGCACTTAAGGTGCAAATATACAGGCTTAAGAAGGTTAAGTAGGTTGCCCAAGATCGGACGGCTAATGGGTGGCAGCACCAGGACCTCATCCAGGAAGCCTGACTCATATTCAGCTACATGAACATTTCTATTCAGCCACTATGCACTTTGATCTCATAAAACTGTCTTCACACAACAGAAATCCACACTGGATTTCTAGTCACTGGAGCTGTATTTTCCTTCCTACACCCGTGACAGACAACTCATGAGGAGACCCTTGTTCCTTCACATGGACTCACAGGGATATCTCTCCCTCTGCACAACAGGCCTGTGAAATGAGTAAAATAAGAATAAAAGGAGAGCCCTGGCCAGTTTGGCTCAGCGGTTAGAGCACTGGCCTGCAGTCCAGAGAGATCCAGGTTCGGTTCCTGCTAAGGGCACGTACCTCGATTTCGGTTTGTCCCCGGCCCTGGTTGGGTCGTGAGGGTGGCAGCCACTCGATGTGTCCCTTTCGTGTCAATGTTTCTCTCTCTCTCCCCCTCTCACTCTATCTGAACAAAAAAGTGGAAAAATGTCCTCGGGTGAGGATAAAAAAAAAAAAAAGAATAAAAGGAGAGCCCTGGCCAGTTTGGCTCAGCGGTTAGAGCGTTGGCCTACGGTCCAGAGAGAACGGGGTTTGGTTCCCGCTAAGGGCATGTACCTCGGTTGCAGTTTGTCCCCGGCCCTGGTTGGGTCGTGTGGGTGGCAGCCACTCGATGTGTACCTGTCACATTGATGGTTCTCTCTCTTCCTATCTCTCCCTCCCGCTCTATCTGAACAAAAAAGGAAAAAATGTCCTCGAGGATAAATAAAAAAGAATTAAAGGATATAAAAAATAACATTATCCATTCTAAAAGTGGAACAAAGATGATAAACTATGATGACAACTAAAAATTTGATTACACTTAATATAGGAATTGAACAAAGGTGAATTAAATAATGACCCTGAGTTTACTTTAGGTTTAAGATTCGAATTCTGGTTTATGAACATTACTTTAGAGTACTTTTATTGCGACTTTTAAATAAAAATTCCTTACCTGCAATTCAAGAGGTATTTCACTGCTTTGAAGTAGAAACTGTATTTTAGCCACTATTTGAGAAAATTCTGAAGGTTTTTGTTCATGGACTTGTAACTCTGCCTAAAACACATAATTTTAATAAAAAACATATTTTTATTGTATACCTTATTTTCTGGTACCCATGATTGCTATTGTGAATACACAGAAAATGAGAGAGCCTTTGATTGCCCCTAATCACTTGTTTTTTGACAGAGCCCTGGGAGTTACAAACCCAGGTGCCTTCATGGATAAGGCAAACATTACAACTGAGTGAAGGGTCCTAGCTGTACGACAACAGAGAGTGACCAGGCTTAGGCCATTCCAGCATTCGGGGCCTGCCGAAAGTCTCTACATTTCATAGATCTGTACATATAAATGTGTCAACACACATACACACAGTACTACTCACTGGTGGAATTTTAACAACACGCTGGCAGTTTATAATCCTTAACATTTTTAAACATCCTATACTTCAAGACAAATTTAAGGAGCACAATGATAACTCATTCATACTTAGAAAATCCATAGCTTTAACTTCATGGCTATCATCATGAACCCAGGAAACTCATAAATCTCCACATATTTTGGAAATCTTTTCCAAATGCACAAAAATAGATATTGGAATTTAAAATTAAATGAGAAATTAGAATAATACAACAAGATTTGAAACATTAGACCTGGCATACTGTACACCCATCATGCACACATACATACATTTTTATATTACTCTGAATCACTCTTTTTGACCTTACAAAAGAAAGTGATTTTATATATCCAAAATAATATGGAAACAAACAAAACAATTAGAAAAAATCTCTTCCTGGAGTTAAAAAAAATATAACTTTAATTCCAAATGGCAAAACCTGTGATGACTATTTTAAAAACTAGCCTTTTGTGAAGCTCTTTAAATATGCTGACACTCAGCCTCATGTGCTTTCTATATTTTTGAGGGACTGCTTAATTCAAATTATAAAGGTCATCCATAATCACGATCTACATCAGAAGTTGTCTAAGGGCTGGTGGTCTGTGTTTATAAATAAAGTTTTATTGGTACCCAGATACTTTAAGCACTTGTGTAGTATTGTCTATAACTGTGTTTTCCTACTACAGACATCAGGGGTTGAGCATCTGTGATATTGATCATATGGTCTACAAGCCTACAATATTTATTATCTGGCCCTTTAGGAAAAGTTTACCTAATCAAGGGGCCTACTAACTAACTTAAGAACAACTATGAATTTTGATGGGACTTCTGTTAGGAGTTCTTAAGCTTTTATATACCATAAACCACTCTGGCAGGTTGGTGAATCCTATGGACCTGTTGAATAATAATATCTTAAAAATAAAATATAAAATAAATATTGTAGAACTATAAAGAAAAAAATTACGTTGGGTTACAGTTATCAATGTATTAAAAATAACATACTTATACTACAGTAATATGTATGTTTCTCTGTTAATACCTTGAATAACAACATCTAGTAGATCTATTGAATGACATACTTTCAAAGTAGTGATAATAGTTATAGTTGCAACAGCCAGATAATGATTTCAGAATACCTGTGATTTTGTTATGCTACTATGTTTATCGACCATATTTATAATTGGAACAAATACATTTTACTTAGATATTCATGAAAATAAAGATACAATTTCTCCCATGTAAGGTCATTGCATCTATGAATCCCCTGGGTGTCTGTGAACCCCAGATTAATTATATTTGCTAACACCTTCCCACATATCATAAAGGATACAACATAGTTCAGGTCCCACTCAAGGAATAATGAAAGAAATAAGCTTTCTTTGTGATTTTTCTACCCCATTTCAAGAAAGCAAACTCCTTATTAAAATGTGTAAAAAAATTTTTTAAAAAAGAGCATATATTTGATCTCTTTTCAGTTACCTTCAGAATTTCTCTTTCCTCTTCAGTGAGTTGATGTAATTCCATTTTTCGAAGGACCTTTTCAGTCCACTCATCAATTACATCTTTCAAGTTAAAAAGTTTGTCCCATAAAGCTAGAGCTCGACCAAGATTTTCATAGTAGTCTTCTGTTTTCTCATTTATCTGCCATATTTAACACATAATTAACATTTAGTAGTAAAAAGTATGAAAACCATTGTTTCAGTCAAACACTATTTTTATTTAAAAAAAAAAATTTATTTTATTTTATTTTATTTTTTTATCCTCACCTGAGGACATTTTTCCATTTTTTGTACAGATAGAGTGGGAGGGAGAGAGAGGAAGGGAGAGGGAGAGAGAGAAACATCGACGTGAAGGGACACATCGAGTGGCTGCCACCTGCACGACCAACCAGGGCCGGGGACAAACTGCAACCGAAGTACGTGCCCTTAGCGGGAACCGAACCCGGGTCTCTGCAGACTGCAGGCCGACGCTCTAACCGCTGAGCCAAACTGGCCAGGGCAAAAAAAAAATTTTTTTTCTTTACTGATTTTTAGAGCAGAGGGAGAGATAGAAACATCGATGGGATAGAACATGGATCGGCCGCCTCCTGCATGCCCCCCACTGGGGATCCGGCCCATAACCTGGGCATGTGCCCTGACCAGGAATCGAACCAGCGACTTCTTGGTACATGGGTCGAGGTTCAACCACTGAGCCACACTTGCTGGGCTCAAACACTATTTTTAAATAAAATTTACCTTTCTTTTTCCCAATAATCCTCACCTGAGGATATTTTTCCATTGATTTTTAGAGAGAGTGGGAGGAACGGAGGGAAGGTGAGAGAGGGAGAAAAAAAGAAAGAGAGGAGAGGGAGAGAGAGGGAGAAACATGTATTCAAGAGAGAGACATCGATTGGTCGCCTCCCGCACAACCCTTACTGGGGCCGGAGATCTAACCTGCAACCCAGGTATGTGCCTTTGACTGGGAATCAAACCTAGGACCCTTCAGTCCAAGAGTTGATGGTCTAACCATTGAGAAACAAAGGCCAGAGAAAAATCTGTTTACCTTTACTGGCTATTTTGCTTTATTAATCAACAAAAATTTTGTTTTAACATATCATATACTTCTCTTTTCTACAAAAAAACAAAAAATCTTAGCTGATATGCTTCATGTTATGTGCAATGAAAGCAATAGCCTTCCTAATTTCTAAACCACAATAAATAAAAGGTGTTTTTAAAAACCCAGATGAGCCCAGTAGGTGTGGCTCAGTGGACTGAGTGTCGTCCCATGGACTGAGGGGTCCCAGTTTGATTCCCGGTCAGGGCACAAGCCCAGGTTTCAGGCTCGATCCCCAGTGGAGGGTGTGCAAGAGGCAGCCAATTGATGGTTCTCTCTCACATTAATGTTTTTCTCTCTATATATATATATCCATTCTTCTCTAAAAAAAAAAAAAAAAAAAATCAATAAAAACATATTTTAAAAAACCAGATGAAAATATAACACAAATTCTTAATTTGTAATAAACCATTAGTTCTCAACTAGAAATGTATTAGGTAATTACATAGTTGAACATCAATATCTTTTATGAATAAGGAACATATTAACTAGTTTATTTTAAATAAGTTAGGCTTGCACTTTTACATCCAGAAAATCAAAGACCCATTTGTTAGCACTGCCTAAAACTCTGGGTGTGAAGGTAATTCCTAAGTCATAAACTTTATATTATTTGAACATTTTTACCATGAGCACTTTGGTTTTTGTAATTAGATAAAAAATACTAAAAATACAACAGAAAAATTCAATTTAATTGTTACAGAACAGAACTTCTAGTCAATTAAATGATCACTTACATCAAGCCATCTGTCCACAATAACATTAGCCTCTTTCTCAAAAGGAGGCTCCTCAAAGGTTCTCATTTTATTTAGATGAAATTGTAGGTTTTTGCAGATTTGGTTAATCTTGTCTACAACTTCTGAATGTTCATTAAATTCTTCTTTGACAATTTCAATCTGTATGAAAGGTATAAAACATGTTTTGACCTGACATAGACAAACTGTAAGAAACATGATTCTATTATTGGCTTTTATTGTCCCACTTGACCAATAAAAAGACTTTATAATCCTAACCATCTAGTTTAACAGTAATTCTACAACCAACTTTGTTCCCACTCTGCATAATAAAATATGGTCTAAAACCATGGTTTTTGTTCATGGGGAATAATATTCTATCAAAAAAAAGTACATCCATTCAATGGTATAAAAAATGACAGTTCCTAGACTCCTCCAATAGGAATCATATTTGTAATGTCAAAGAAAAGAATGTTCTCATCTGAATAAAACACACAGAACTCTAAAACATCTTTAATATGACTTCCAGCTTAATTTTCCATGAGTCTAACTCCAACATCATTTCTAACATGAAAGCTGAAACACTGTTTTATGAAAAGGTCAATGATCTTAGACTATAAAATGAAATTTGAGTGTGGACTAATATAACAAACATTTCACTCAATGTTCACTCAATCTTACACAAACTTTTTTTCTTGGTATGTGCCCCTAGTGGGAACCGAACCCGGGACTCTCTGGTCTGCAGGCTGACGATCCAACCGCTGAGCCAAACCAGCCAGGGCTTACACAAACATTTTTAATGACTACATAAAATTTGGAAATAAATTTCTCATAAATAAAAATCTAAAAAGTATGCACCCTAGGAGGACTTCTATTTCTGGGAATATGGAGTAGACATACTTTTCCCTATTCTTCCCAATAAATAAATTTAAAACCCTACACATCACATACAAAACTACTTTCAGAAGACTAAAAAGTGGAGATTAAGAAGGAAGAGCGGCTGCAGCATCCGCTCCTAAGGAACAACCTGCTGGTGCACTCTCTGTGTTTTCTTTTTCCCTCCAACTTCCCAGACTGTGTGCTGAAGAAGCCAGCATCTGGTAACAACAGACAAAAAAGTCCCAAGAAAGGCCTGCTCTCTTCGGCCAAAGTACCAGGAATGGGACAACCTAACAAGACAGAAAACTTTTAGAAAATAATCGCTCAATGAAGACAAATACAGTTGGCCCTCGTTTATCGTGGTTAATCAGTTCCAGACTCCACTGCGATAAATGAATTCCCGGGAAGTAGGATTTTTTATTTATACACAGTCGTCCCTCGCCACTTCGCGCTTCTACTTTCCCGGCTTCACTCTATCGAAGTGCGAAGTGGCGAGGGACGACTGTATAGAAAAAAATGTAGCCAGACCCCCACCATATCAGCAAAGATCACGTGTACAGCCTAGACTTCCACCATCACCAGGCTGCAAGAGCAACCCCACCTTCACCCAATGTCAGAGAAGGCCAAGGAGAGGGCCAGGACTTTCTTCCTGCTGGGCAGTAACAAGGCACCTGCCCACATGATGGCAGCTGAGGCCACACAGGGAGCTGTAAGGAAGAGCCAGGGGGTGATCAGTGGAGGCCTAGTGAGGAGCCAGAACTGTTACTCCCAACCAGCAATAATAAGGAGACCCGTATCTCCTGTGTCAAGAAACTATCCCGTTTGCAGATGACATGAGTATCTATATAGGAGAGCCCACTGAATCTACAAAAGTACTCCTGCAGTTGATAAGTAGGTTCAGGGAGGGTTGCAGAATACAAGATAAACATATGAAAATCAACTGTTCTTCTATATACTAGACATGAATACATGGACACTGAAATTTAACATATAACACCCTTTCAATGACTCAAAAAATTAAATACTTGAGTGTAAATCTAACAAAACATGCATAGGACTTATATACTAAAAACTATAAAATGCTAATAAAAGAAAGTAAAGAAGGTCAAAATAAATGTAGAGAAATACCAAGTTCATGGATTAAAAGGCTCAATATCGTAAAGATGTCAATTCCCCCCCTCAAAATCCTGACATACAGGTTTAGTGCAATTATCAAATCCCAGTAATATTATTTTGTATATATAGACAAAATTATTACAAAATTTATATGAAATGGTAGAAAAACTAGAATAGCTAAAACTTTTGAAAAAATAACAAAGTGAGAATTTAAAATCTATCATGATTATGTGCTATTAGATAGAGGTTTTATCAAGATTATGTGGTATTGGCCAAGGAATAGACACACAGATCAATGGAAAAGAGGAGGGAACCCACAAATGGATTCACATAAATATGCCCAACTGATTTTTCACAAAGGTGCAAAAGCAATTCAACAGAGGAAACAGAGCCTCTTCAACATACGGTGTTGGAGCAGTCATCTATAGACAAAAACAAGCACCTTAACCTAAGTCTCACACCTACTAAAACAAACTCTAAATGGATGAAGGACTTAAATGTCAACCAAAACACTATAAAACTTATAGAAAAAAAAGGAGAAAATCTTCTGGATTTTGAGCTAGTCAAAGAATTCTTAGATTTTGACACCAAAAGCACAACTGAAGAAAGAAAAAAATTGATAAACTGTACTTTAACCAAAATTAAAAACTTTTGCTCTGTCTGCAAAACACCCCATTAAGGGAATAAAAAGACAAACTAAAAATTTAAAGAAAATATCTGCAAACTACATCTGACAAATAACTGGTATCTAGAATATGTAAAGAACTCCCAAAACTCAACAGTAAAAAAATCAATCACTCTGTTAGAAAATGGGCAAAAGATCTGAAGAGGTATTTCACCAAAGGTAGCGTACAAATGGCAAGCAAGCACAAGATCAATATCATAAGCAATTAGGGAAATGCAAATTCAAGTCATCATGTGATACCACTACATACCTATCAGAATCACTAAAATGAAAAATTGACAATATCTAATACAGGGAAGGATGTAGAGAAACTGGATCCCTCCTACATTGCTAGTGGGAATGTAACATGGTGCAGTCACTCTAGAAACTAGTTTGGCATCTTCTTTAAAAACAAAAGATAAACTAACATACAACCTAGCAACAATGCTGCAGGGTGTTTATCCCTGAGATATAAAAACTTACGTTCCCACAAAACTCCCTACTGAATGTTTAGAGCAACTTTATTCATAATAGCCCACAACTAGAAACAACCCAGATATTCTTCAATGGTGAGTAGTTAAATGAACTCAGCAAGAAAAAGAAACAAATTATCAGCACATACAAGAATTTGAAAGAATCTTCAGAGAATTATGCTGAGTGAAAATAGCCAATACCAAAAGGTTACGATCTGTATTTCATTTACATCAGATTTTTGAAATGACAAAATTGTAAGAGCTTAGCCTTAAGGAAACCTAGAAAAGGGAACACAGGCTCTCTCCGTATTATTTCTTATAACTGCATGCAACTCTACAAGGATCTCAAAATAAAAAGTTTAATTTAAAAAATTAAAAAATTTGATGAAAAAAATTACTGAGAGGTTTCTATCTCTGGACTTCACACTGACTAATACATTTGCAAGAGTTGAAATGCAAACTAGGTGTTTTTCCTCCTAGTTTAGGACTCTGCATTGCAGAATAATAAATGTTTGTTCAATTAAATGAAATATATATATATATATATATATATATATATATATATATATATATATATATTTCCCCCCCCCCTTTTTTTTTCTTTTTTTCCATTGAGCTGGTGTGGCTCAATTGGTTGAGTGTTGTCCCATGAACCAAAAGGTCACCGGTTAAATTCCTGATAAGGGCATATGCCCAGGTTGCGGGTTCAATCCCAGGCAATAGATGTGTCTCTCTCTCTTTCCCCTTCTCTGTTCCTCTCTCTCTAAAAAAATCAATAAAATCATATTTGAAAATATATATGTATAGCCACCCTAATTCTTATTACATTCAGAGAACGTGGCTGTTAAACTGACAAAAGCAGGTGAAGAGACAAGGAAGAGCAGGAGAGGGTGCTTTAGCATTGACAGGAACTGCAGGTTTTGTTCTACAATGAATGGAAGAGGGAAAATAAAGAAAACTAGGTCCCCTCTGACATTTCCCAAACTTTAATAGTCCCCTGACAGTTTAACCTTCTAGGCTTACTTTTACACTGTCTTTCATTAAAAAGAGCAGAAATTTGGCACCATATCCTAGATAAACATCCAGGTTTCTATGGTTTTGAAGAACAAATGTTCTCAGTGGTATCCTATTTCAGCCACTGGTGCAAAACATCATGACAATACATGCTATAGAAATTGATGGTTTCTGAAGACAGCACCTAGGTCGTCACAAATGAACTCAAATTTGTGTTAACAATCAGTACTAAAATTTGCTTTTATCCTGTTTAAAAAGTGTCTGGGGGGAAAATTGAATACCAGTGTACCAGAACTTCTATGTCTTCTATACAAAATAATATATTATTTCAGCAAATAGATGAAGTGCCCATATGCTAGATTTAAGATTCTCAACATAACAATAATAATAATAATAATAAAGTCTGGACTTTCATATCTTTCCTAAAGATGATTATTTTATTAATTTTAAAAATATCCTTTGTGAGCTAACCATTACAGTTGAGAAAGGGGTACAGATGAAGCAAGGTTTAACCAATTTTTACTTCTGCCATATACATACTGCAAATATGTTTTCAGGGAAGGCACTGGTATGATGACTGAAACATGACTTTGCAGTCAGACAGACCTGGGCTTAAATAATAATTCCACCATTCATTAATTAGCCATATAATCTTGGGTAATTTACTTAACCTCTATCCCCTCTTTCCCCCTCCCCAATTTTTACAGAGAATGTTGCTAATATGACTGTCCAAATTTCAAGATATAAATTGGACCACATTTACCAGTGAGCTGAATCAGCATGCATGTAAGATTCAACACATGGATGTGGTTCTTTTTCTGCTTCGTGTTGCTTCCTTATTGGTGCTGGGTAAGATGAAGTACAGCCCCTTGAGACCACCATTATGCACCTCTCTTCACGGGAGATGAAGAAACAAGGTCAGTGCATCAATATCTGAGCTCCCCTGTGCAGCCAAACAAAGGGTGATAAGATTCCAAGATCTGAACTGGGATCTGGTCAACATAAAGGCCTCATAA